AGGTTGGAATGATTCTCCCAATCCTGCCGCCTGTGCCAGGAGCGTCCGTATCCCCTGTCTCAGTCAGGATTCCCATCTTCCAAAGAATTTCTTTGGCTTTGTCCTTGACTGCTTTGCGGCCGTCTTTGCCTCTTTCTTCTTTTCTTTGCGCTCCTTAATCTCATTGAAGAGCTTTTCACTGGTCTTGAGGAGATCCCCCATGACGTACCACTGCAAATCTTCTTCGACAATGACTTCCCTCCTCTGAGGATCGAAGCCGCTGAAATCCTCATTGGTCAGGGCATCCGCTAGGACGTTTCCATCCCTGCTCACCCATGTCAGAGTGGCAAAGGCATCAAGTCTCCTCAATGTCTCCGCCACCTCGATCACCAAAAGTGTGATGGGGTACTTCGTCGACAGCCCCTTCTTCAGAATGAAGGCATTCCCCCTATTGTCGGTAAAAGCTTCTGCACATACTTCAGCTGCCTCTCCTGGCCTCTTCAGCCACAACCTCAAAGCGATGAGGGTTGCCATCAACTCCAGCGCTGCAATGACTCTTTTTGGGTTTCTGCCTCTGAAGTTAAAGCCAGGGCGCACTCACTTCCGTGATCTTCAAGGAAAACCACCGGCATTCAGTGCTGCTTGGGCTCTCCTCCAGCCATCCGCCAATCCAGGCATCGCTCTCCGTGGCTTTGGCGTCCGTCCAAATCCTCAAAGGTGCCCTCGCGGTGCCCCGGGGCCTCCTCACTTGCTCCAGCCTGCCATCTGATCCCAGCCTCTGCGCAATCCAGTCAAGGATGAACTGTATTGCCCATGGAATAGTCATTGCGCCCTTGTTCGACTGTATGGCAGCCGACCAGGCATACAGGGGGCCCAGGAGAGGTTTCTCCCATGGTAATGCCAATGCAGTGAAGCCCAATCGCCCCAGGCCAGCAGCAAACTCTCTGTATGTGACCTCCTTCCTTGCCCTCAACGAACCAACCCATTCAACGATCCATGCCGATCTCCTCTGGGAAATACCCATTGCATAGAGCTTGTAATCGGTTGTCAAACCAATCCACTCTGTGATGAGACCTCCCCTCTGCTTTGACCACTTGAAGGGCGCTCCCAGGGCGGCCATGAAGGAAAATGCCAGAACTCCGCCAATCCTCCCAACACGCCCCACTGTCAACACCTCCAAGTCGTCAGCGTACAGCAGCATGTCGTTCGGAAAGCTCGGACCTAACACCCAGTAAACTGCCCTCATGAGCGCAGCACTCAGCCTTGCCCACCAATAGGGTGTTGAAGCTATCCCAAAGGTGCCCACTTGGTTCACGTAGACCACCTCCGATCTCGAAGCTGCCTTACAAGCCAGGAAGCCCTGCTCCTCCCGCCGATACTTGAATCGGCGGTGGGCTTTGGCGAAGTCACCCACCAATGACAGGACTGTCAAGTGTTCCTCCTCGTACTCCTCAAGGAGGGCACGCTTCTCCCTCGGCCCCGGCATCCGCACTTTGTCTCGGCATCGTATTCGGTGATTCACCTTGACGCCGTGCGTGCCATCGTGGATGACCCGTCTCTTGCCAGTCAACTCGTCCTCCACCAACACTGCGAGTGCTGCCACTGCACGATTGTGCCCAAAAGTCCTAATGAACTCTTCCTCTGACATCTTCACCATCAGGCCTTCAGACACCTCCTGCTCGAGATGCTCTACAAGATATCTTTCATGCTCCTCAGCAGAAACATAGTTGCTCTTCTGCCAGACCGCTTCACCCCAGTCTTCTCCTTCAAGATTCCACCTCAACTGCTCTTCAAAGATCTTGGGCGTGCGGGGTAGATCACCTAGCACTCCCACGGGCAGCCCCGTCTTGGCTTCCTCAAGGAACTCCCAATCTGGATCCCCCGCTTTCTCCAGGACCCTTTTCAGAAGGTCTAGGAAAAAGGGCTGCCCCGCCTCCGGCTCCGACTGCACTGGGATGTCCAACTTCTCCCCCAGCACCTGTCTAATCTTCCTCAAGAAGGCCTCGTCACGTACCAAGCGAAAGCTCTCTCCTCCCTTTGCCATCCTGAAAGCCTCCTTCTCGACCTCAGCAACACTACCCATCACCTTGACAGCCTCTAGCAGTAGATGGTGCCCAAGCAATGACCATCCTTCTCCCTCCGGCCTCTTCCTCTTGTCTGAGCGCCACCTCCCTGGTGAAGCCAGTCCTCCTCCATCGTGAAATGGGGCGTCCAACCCTTTCCACCTGCAACAGCGCGGAGGGCCTTCTCCCCCCGCTACCGGTGGGTCCATAGGGCACCGCCCCCTCTGACCCTTTCTTCTGTGCTTTCTTCTGGGCACCAAGGTCGTCCTCTGCCTTTCTCTTCTTCGAAAACTCACTCCCCCCAGACCACTCTTGCAAAAAGGAGGTGAGCAATGCCCATGCAGTCCACCGGCAAAGTGCCGGAGGCCAAGCTGCAGATTTGGCCGTCTTGAAAACACCCTGATGCTTGCCGATCAGAGGGGCGCCCCCTGAACGGCGAGGAAGTGGCCCCAAATACCAACCATTGCCATCAAACTGTGGTGGCCCTTCATGCATGGCTGGATGCAATGGTGCAAATAGCCGCATCAGAAACCTTGTGGGCTTGGGCGATGAAGTGCCAAAGTCCTGCTGTGCGAAGACCACTGTTTTGACTCCCTGCATTGCCAGGAGTTGTTCGAATTGAACGAATTGCCACATGGATGCTGGCTGATGTCCAGGTATTCTATCATTTGAGGTGCGCCCCAAATCCTCTGGTTGTTCCATCAAGCCCACCCGTTGACTGCAAGCAAATTGGCGCTTCAAGGCCTCATAGGAAAAATCTGCCAAAATAGTTCCAAATTCTGCTTTGTGAAACCTATCCCCCTTGTTCCAAGGAAATCCTCTCGGGAACGTAGAGCTCCTCACCGGATACGGACCCAGATCATTCGCCCATACAGCTCGCGAGAAAGTCGAACAGGGAGGTGTGACAATGACTGCAAAGAATACGCCTTGAGCGATCATCTGCAACCATTTCTTCTGTACAGCTGGTAAAGTGAAGTCTGACCGACGGTCGGTCTGGATGTCTAACTCCGTGATCTCCACTTGGACATCCATTCGTGGTGCGAGCCTCCTCAAGAAACCTGCCACAGAACTGCGGCGCCTCCTCCCTGAGAAGACGTAGAGGACTCTGAGAGTCCTTCACCGGGCCCCATCCGTGTCCGGTGGTACCGCCTCCTTGCGGTTTTTCGGATTGCACTCGTAAAGCGGGTGCTTCTCGCTGAAGCATATCCCGCACACATGGCGATATTTGCACTTCGCCATCTTGCATTTTTCCCCCGGTGTGTTGTACCGGAAGCAGATCAATTCGCCATCTGGCGTGTGAGTGGCACAATGCTGACCCCCTTTTCCTTTGCTCTTCTTGCCCTTGCCTTTGTCCTTGCCCTTGCCACCCTTCGCCTCCGTGGATCTCCACTTGGCATCTGGCTGCTCTCTCCATGGTGGCGTAGGCCGCTTTGCATACAGAGCAAGGGGGGTGGTAAAGTTCCGCTCTTTGATTGTGGCGTCCTTCCATGCCATCTTCAATGCAACTGTCAATGGTTTGCCCTCTGTGTTAGTGATCTTCACTGCCTGCTTTCTGATGGCTTTCTCGTAGGCGATGATCAGCTTCCAGGGTGGTGCAGCAAACGTCTGACCCTCTGCATCCTTCGCACAGAGTCCATACACATAATCCCCCAACAGGTAGTCCTTGTACTGCTCCACGGTCTCCTCCCATGTGCCTTGCAGCTCATGCCTGTTGGAGTGCTTCAGTGATATCATGACCATGGCGTTCTTCCAAACTGTCAATCTCTTTCGAAGTTCTTCGGCGTTCGCCGGTTCCTGTACTTTCGTCGAGCCTTTCTTCATGGCCAATCGGCCCTTGGAGTCCCAGATGGGCACCACAGTCTCCGGCTCGCTTTCTTCTTTTGACACGATCTCCGTGAGCTCCTCGGCACGGTATTCACCGCTTTCAACCTCTGCCAACTTCTTCTCAACATATTCTTTCGCAGGGTATATCTTGTCCTCCAGGTAGCCGTAGCGCTTCTCCAATGCTGAGCGCATAGCTGCCCATTCCCCTGCCACCACCGGGCGTGACCACTGGAGTGAGTCGTACTCGGCATCAACTTCTGCCGCTCGCTGGCTCCTCGTCTTTGCATTGCTGAATGCGCACACTATGGCAGCCACCTGAACTCTCTCATCCAGTGTCCTCTCCGAGTCCAACTCCCAATGTTCTTTCAACACTGCTGTAAGATCCTCACGATCCTTCGCAAAATTCGACAGCTTCTCCAGTGTTGTAACACCATGATGGAAAAATAACTTCTGGTTGTCAATGCTCACCTCGTGCCTTGACAGCAGATACTTGAGGTCCGTGCCTGCCGCTTCCAAGGCCCTAGTGCCCTCAGCATCCGTGAGGACAGCACGAGGCATGCTCGCCCCACAGGCTTGAGCCCACCCTCTCTGGACACGCCGGCCAGATGTGCAGCATGCGATGCCGCCATGACACTGCTGTGCCTATCGTGCATGCTATGCACAAAACCGCTCACATGCGATGTGATGCCCCCTCTCTGCGTGCTGTGAGGTGCGACCCCGCCTCTTCCGCAGACTCGGGCTCCCGTGCGCAAGCGGCGTTCCGCCCCAGTGCCTGAGCGGCTCGCTCGGCCCGGGGTCCCATCATCCTACTGCCCCTACCCATGGCTTGACATGGACTCACCGCTCAACCGCCCCTTGGTGCGACCAAGGGTTCAACCTAATGCTCTTCAAAGCTCCACTCCCTCCCCAGCAGCCGTTTTAGTCGCTGAGACCGCCACCACCACCCCAACACAATTTGCATCGGAGGGTGTACACCTCGGGCTCTGGCAGGTTCTCGTGGACCTCTGAGCTCACGAAATACCTTTTCTTTGCCATCCAGCAGCCCTTGCTTCCCAGCCGGTGGGGCGTCCCCTGGCCAGCACGCCTGTACACGACCACGTAGTTGCCCTCCCTCTCTTCTTCAAGAGGGTCACCAATCTTCCTCTTCTTGGGGTCCTTCTGTGCCGGCTCATCTCCACCCTTGTCGCTCTGCGAGTCATCATAGATCGTCGTGTCGTCCTCCGACAGTGGAATGACTGCTTGAGGCCTGCCTTTCGCTCCGATCTGGTCCTTCCAGGCTTCGACTACGCTCTCGGCTTGATCCTCAGGGACCGTCCACTTCTCCGTCAGCCACGCCTTGAGCTCCTCCAGGATCGAACCTTCATCCAAGTCTTCATAGGCGGTCTCGCCTCTCAAGACACTGACCAGCTTCCTCTGCATCTTCCTCACGATGGCGTTGTAGGTCCTGACATAGACATCTGAGCCCTCAGGGCACCACCTCCCTAGGTAGTCACGATCACCCTTCTCCACGCCCAAGGCCGCCAAGCCGCTCGGCAGGGTTGCTCTTTCGCTATGTTCGGACCAGAACCTCTCCCATCCCGAAGGAATCAACCTACCTTTGTATCCCTCCAGAAGTGCCATCGTCCGAGCGCTCCCCGACACTGCCTCCGCATACGTGACATGCGAGACTCCATACTTCGTGCCATAGAAGCAGCCCTCCGGAAAAACATAAATTCGGTCCCTCGGCATCTTGAGCTTCACCAAATCAAAGCCAACTGCCAGCCAGTCATCCTGGACCACATAGGCATCCCTCGTGATGAAAATCGGCAGTTCCCGAACTCGCTTGCCAGCCCCCGACGTCTTGGACTGGCGTATGATCCCCATGAGCTGTCCATCATAGAAGCGTACCTCCGACGTCTTCAGATGCGCTGCATCGTCAAACCTCATCGAGGTCCAGAGCTTTAAAAGCTTGAACCAGGCACACACTCTGACCTCCAGCGGCATTGCACCATCCACCACCAAGGTCTCCATTGGTGCCACAAAGCATCCGAGCCAGCGAGGCGCTCGCCGGACTGGTGGAGCATTTTGCTCAAGCTTCTTCGTCAACTCCTTCATCACCATCTGGGGGAAAGTTTGTGCCATCAGTTGCTCATCGTCAGGAATGCCTGCCGTTCGCTCAAACCAGGCCACTGCTGTGCTAACTGCGAGGGGTATGGATGCACCCATACCCTCCTCCTCTCGTGCATACATGTAATCCACCAGCATCACCGAATTTGGCCTTTGCCCCGGCTTGCCCATGGACTCGGCCCACACCCGGAAGCGCTGCCATGAAGCCAGGTACCGCCTGACCGTCGATAGCCGGTACTTCCCCAGCAATGCGTCCTGTGCCCTTTTTGGATTCATGGCCTTCACGATGTCGCCAAGTACGGGTGCATCAAATATCTTGAGCTCATCAACCAACTTGCAGAGGACCTTGTCATTGACTTCACCCTCTGCAGCGATGCGGCCCCCTCTCAGGCGTACTGTCCTCCCCAGCGTGCCTCGCTTGGGCAGTACCAGAGGAACCGGAGCTTTCTCCTGTGGCTCAAGGGGTTTGCTTTCCTTCTCCATGGCTACCCTGGCGTCCGCAAGGTTCTGGATAGACCTCGACGAAGATGTTCCCACAACACGGTTGTCGAGATCTGCCATCTGGACCGCTTCGCGGACTTGTCCTTTCACAAAGGACACATGCCACGGCCTGGCCTCCAACCCAAGCCGCTCGGCCAGCTGCCTTGCCAGGGATTCCTCTGAACCATGGCTGACTGCAAGGCGGGGGCCAACTAACCCTATTTCGGTGAGGGCGTTGAGCATTTTGGCTCCATCTTCAGGATCGGGGGTGCAAGCACCCCCATCCATCTCCTCACCAAAAACAACTTCACAAACCCCTCGAGCCTACAAGCACGGTAACAAAAATCTGTCATGACAAGTCATGAGTGAATTATATATACAAAATTAGTGCAAATCCATATGTGCTTTCAGATCCTCTGCCCAGGCGCTCACGGCACGTGGGGCAGCTAAAGGAGGAGGTCAAGGAGCACCCGAAGCAGCCGATGCAAAAGCAATGACCACCTATAGCGGTGCCGTGGTTTGAAGACGGACATTCTCAGCTTTCATGGTTGGGGTTGATGATGCTAATTTGATGCTTATTTTGGGGACCAGAAGTCTTGGGCGAAACTGCTGGACTTCAGTCGTGCGCTAAGTACTGGGAGCTGAATGAATGGTCCTTTCGCTTCCGAATGCCAAACCTCCAGCAGCAGCACCTTTGCGGATCTTGGTGACCTACTAAGGGCTCACCAGCTTCCTCGGTTCTCGTTCCGGAGCTGAAAAGACCAACCGGTCCGAGGGGCAGCAGCCGCTCGCTGCTTCAGTCATGATTTCCATGCCTCGGGAGGGACCGAGTCCAAGGTGTGCACTAAAATGGTATTCATGAATACTCACTCAAGGAAGGCTTAGTGAGGGGTTACGGTTTCGGCTTAGTGGAAGGGATCTTCCTACTGGGATTCATGGGCCTTCTGGCGGTATGCCGTGGAGGGTTACGACTTTAGGGGGCTTCTGGGGGACACTCACTCAAAGACATTGGGAGATCTACGGACTTGGACTTGGACCCCCCTTGGTTTTGGTTCGGAACATCGACCAGTCTACCTGGCCAGGTGGGTGCTTCTACTTCAAATTAAAGGCAAGTGTTCAATAATGGTAAAGTCCTGCTTACAATACATGTTTCCATATTTTTTTCTAAAGCAAGGAGAACTCAGGTAGCCTGAGGCTACCTTTCGTGATAAAACGCAAGTGTTCAATAATGGCTACAGCTCATCCAAACACTTGATAGGAGATGGGAGGTCGACTCAGTTTGTCCTAAAGGATCTCTCAAGAAATGCCGCCTTTTTGATCTTAGGACACAGGACATTGGTGGCTCAAAACAAAGAGGACGCAAGAGCTAAACCAGTCCTGAGAAACTAACTGAAGCGAGTCCTGAAAGCAAACCGCTGGAAGACACAGCAAAATCAATCCTCATCATTGATCACAATCTGCCCCACGAATGCTTAGGGCGCAACAAATGGGGCATTCGATGCATGAGATCAGGCTCTTGCATACAGTCTCCAAACGACCTCATGGACAATGCGGCTGATGCTCACCGGGCTAACCAATAACGGGACATGACATAGCATAGGGGGCCTGGCCCAGCTAGCCCTCTGATGGTTCACGTCCAAGAAACAGTTGTCATGTCCCAAAAAACGCCTCGAAACTCGAAACCTGGTGCCTTTGAGACAACCACACAAGGCGACAGGCCAATGAATCCAGTATGATGTGTCTGTGCCTAGTCCCCGTCACGAAATCCCCTGGCTGATGCAATGCACCGTCACCGGGTTTCCTTTTGGCATGGTTGGTTCAAATCGAGCCAATGTGTTTCACAAAGGACAAAACATAATATACCGTACTATAATGGCTGCGCAATAATAACACACTCCAACATCTATATAATATGAAACAACCGACTTGAGAGGACTTGGGAGCATAAACCCTGTTCCATCTTTTTCCCATGTACTGGATGGATCAACAAGAGCCTCCAATTGCCTGGAAGGTCGACATCGCTTCACATCCGCGGACGGATATCAGTGAACCGTTGAAGGTCGATCTGCCAAGAGTCCGTCAGTTTGGATCCATCGACATATGCAAAACATGAAGACATCGATGCAGTGGATTTCATGACGGTCAATCATGGTGTACATTGAAAGCATATTCAAGCCGCAAACTTGTGCGCCCCCCCAAGTCATATTTGCCCAAATCATCCAAATCTAAAAGGTACGAATCAGAATTCCCAGTTGCTAAGTTCAGCTCGAGCTTTCTGCATGCCACGCACTCGTTGTTCTGCAGCTCATGTCATGGCTTCAACGGCACTGAGCACCGCGCAAGTCACCTTCTCTACAAGGAATGCTTGTTACATAGCTATCGCGCTTCCTACTAACTGGTGTCCGGTCCTAGTCCCCTCACACAAACAACAACAAAATTGAGGATGGCAGTTGGCTCATGTTGTGAAACTGTGACTTGTTCTTCAAGCAATCAATCAATCAGCATCCTTACTAGTTACTAGAGCTTCTGTCCATGAGACATTTTACTCAGAAAGCGCCGTCACAGTTGCATCCCCTGGCTTCTATTCCGGCAATCAGAAACAGGCCCCAAGTGAAAGTCAAAGACTCCCCGGCTACTTCCTAGACTTACCCCTTGGGGCTGTGCCATCTACTCTGAAATAGGGCACACGATATCCAAAAAAAGAAGCCATGTTGGGACCTGCTACTGGTAGACTGGTTGATATTTATAATATGTCTATGTCATCTATGATGAACAGTTCAGGCGCCTATATCGTATCCTCGGTCGCAAAACCTGCTCTTGAGCCCAGTGAGCGCAGGCTACACTCATGATACGATCGTCCGACAGTGGATTTTTTAAGTGTGCAAACCTGAACACGAACAATTGAAGGACTCTTTGGCAGCATCGTGCTCCTACCACCCCCTACCCCTCGCACAAAGAGTGTGGCAGGCCGCAAGCCGCAAGCTTTTCTGCATGCAGCATGATGTGAGAAATTCATCCGTGCAACGACACGATCGAGCTACAGCTCCAGCCAGCCCGGCCGCCAAACGGTATGCTGGCTTATATAGGGAAGCTCATCGAGTTATCCAACGATCACCTGCAAGGCCACACCAAGACTCATCAGGCTCTTTGAGCTGCGCTGGTGGCACAGGGTTGGACTGGATGCATTGAAATGAACGGCTGGTGGGTCCGAGGTCGAGCCAGCTGCTGGGCTTGTCTATGCAGTTGAATAAGAATCCTGTTCTTGAAAATTCAGCCTCTGCATACTGAAAAGGCCAAATGCCTGGTGCAAATCCTTCATGTTCCTCCTACAAAATCTCCCATCTATGCCCTAGAAGTCAGTCTTTTCTCTTCCTCCGCTTCCTTTCAGAATGGTCCGACCCCATGTTTTTTTTCCTCCATGGGTGTGCTAGACATCTGGACTCACGCAGCTCATCGTGCAGTTCCACCTCTTAGGGTGGCCACGGACCACGGCCGACCGTCGCTTGCCTCGCGCCCCGGCCCGAGCACTAGGGCCCTTTTCCACGAGGATTGCCGGCCTCAGGGAAGACCAAAAACACGTTTAAACACAAAAACACACAACTCATCAAAACGCCATACTGTACTGTATGTGCCATCCTGCACCATTGCGAACGCACCATTCATTGTTCAACATAGTGCTACAAATTAAAGTATTCAGATGTATACAGTGTCTCATCCAATTCACTGTCTCATCCAGCCGTTTCACCCTGTTACAGCGCCCTGGAACTTTTTTTTTGAGCTTGGCTGGCCGTCAGTCATTCATCACTCATGCCACTCAGCTACTCATGCCCTAAGGAAATGCCTTCCTTACGACAAACCACCCTGGGTTCGTTCGCCCTTCATAAGGTTCATAGTCATTGGTGCCATTGGGCTCTGAAAGCAAAAGACACGGGTTCCACCATCTCTGGTGGATAGGTATGATAGGCACATGGAATCTCCATCATTCCCCATCAATTGCTGTAGTCAGGAAGGGCGAATCGGTTCTTTTTCGGGGATGGAGCCCGAACCCAGCACCTGCAAAGGCAATTCACTAAATCAAAGGTACAAAAACCATCATCTTATCAAACCTTCAATCAACCAATCACATTCGCTAGGTCGGTGCCTGGTGGCTAAAAACAACAGGAGACTTGAGCAACTTGAGCAACTGGAAGTCTTTTCAATTCTGGAAGTACTTGAGCAACTTGACCTCCTCGACCCGGGTGGTCGAAGAAGCTCTTCCACATAGGGAGACCTCCCAGGTCGACTTTTGTGGAAGCTTTGGGCAAGTCCACCTATAGTATACCATAGTTTTATAGACATGTTTTATATATACAGTTTTGAACTACAGCTAAATATATCACATACCATATACAGTTTTAACCCATCCCGGACCTGGGGGGATGGCTTCAGACCAGTCTCCGGTTCGTGGCCACGACGGATGGGTCGACCGGCAGCAATCGCTCCGAGCAGCACATCCCTCCTGGAGGATGTGGCGACGCCAGTCCTCCTCGGTCGAGCCTCAGGGGGTGCGGGTTTGGGTGCGACTGACTGCGCTTGTCAGGGGTTTTGAGGCAGGGACTTGGAGGATTTGGAGGGCCCGGGGAGCTCATCATACCGCATCCTAATGCATCCCATGGCATCAGATTGCATCCTGCATAAAGGCAAATACAGGGTAAGGTGGAGTGAAGGGTATTGGCACAGCTTGTGACATTTGTGCCAGCTTAATTTCTTGCCAGTTGTTCATTGACTACTCGCGCTGATCCTATCTTATCGCCTGGAGTCGCTCAAAAGGGCTGGATGAGCACGTCCCTTCCAAAAGGTGGTGGAAGAGCTTGCCGCCGGTTGGCGGTTCAGAACCGAACAGTGCGATTCCTGCAGTGGCTCATGGGGTCATGACACCCGGGGGATCGACCGGTGCCAGGGCTGCCCACCGGTCCAAACCGACCTACCAGGTGTGGTCAACCCAACCGGGCAACCCGGGTGGGTCGTGGGTAACTCATGCAGGGAACATGCAGAAAGGAATATACCATGCTTCACCTCCAGAATTGAGGTGCTTGGCATTGTGCCACTGCATGGCGCGTTCCAAAAATTGTCATACCACTTCATGACGATTTTTCAGATCACAAATGGCCCGATATGACCCAAGATATATATATATATGGACTGTTGATGAATAAACCATCTGCATATGGAGAGGTTTTACAATCCCAATCGGCGGGGCGTCATCAATCACCATGTCACACTATGACCCACATCCTGCAGTAAAACATACAGTGGGATACAGTGGGTTCAGAGTAGATGGCCCCTGGCACCCCTACCTGTCTTAAACCAATGGGTGTTCATATGAACCACCGAACTGGGGGAGTGTGCCATCTACGTCCGTACTCCGAACCCGCCCTCCTCCGGGCACCCGGACCCACCTCCGCCCGACAGAGCGGGCATTGCGTCGGCCGAAGGTCCTGGGATGCGGTCCGCGGGTGGTCCGAAGAGGGTCCACGCAACGATCAGATCGGTCCGCGGTCCGTGCGGTTGACCCGGTTGACCCACGTTTTGGAGGAACACCTTGGCCTCTGTGGGTCGGGGTCGCATGGTGTTTTGTTCTGACTTGAACATCTTTGAACGACATGCAAGTGAAGATGTCTAAGAAGCACAGGGAAAAAGGTGCGCTCTGACTCTCACATGCTCTGACTACAATGAAGTGTATCGAACATTCATGCAGCTCGGCTGGACTCAGGCACTTACAGTAGGATTTCAAAACATGAGATGGGTGTGGCTGCAGGTTTTGGGGATGCTTTTTGACCCAGAAATGCACATGAAAGGAATCCGTTTTTGGGGGGAGAAGTCGTTCTGGCTCGGATCCCAAGGTCAGGTGCCGCAGTGCAACCACGACCAGGTCGCAACTTCCGAACATGACGTCATCCATGGGACACCCATCGGACTGGACTGGACTGTATGCCTACATTAACCCCATTTCAACCACACCTATTGTAAGTTTAAATGTGATAAATATATCAATATACAGTATGTCTATGCCAGTTTTGTGGGGTGTCTGGGCATGGACCATGCCGGATCTGCCGAACAGGATTGCCAGGTGGAAGCAATTCTTCCTGATAAGGCGACCTCCACGGCTCGTTCCGCAGGAACGAGCCCCCGCGTGCCTGCGCGGAGGGTGCCGCCTGGGGCGCTTCGCATTCGTCGCGGAGGTGAGGACCCTGAGCCAAGCAGGTCGGCTGAGAAAAGCTGTTGAGGATAGAAATATATATATATCGAAATGAAAACATCAACTGATTATCAACTAATTATATAATATAACCCCATGTCAATTGAATGCTTGAACGGCCAAAGAAGAACACTTAACTGATCCTCCTTGTGATTGGTTTTCCTCCCATTCATCCATATTCCTGACAAATGAGCTGTTTTGGTGCTTCAGTCAGTCAATCATTCGTGCAAGCCCTGACTGGGTCCGGGTTGTCTCAAAAACACACAACAAACATGGCGCTCAGCTGCGCTTCCGCGCCAATGTGGCGATCTCAATGACCTGCTTACCTCCGCGGTCCAGGGGCGATCGGCGTTGGCGGCTTTGGAGTGGGCACGAGGCGGGTGGAATGACAGCTCTGCAAAAAGATTTCTTGGTTGTTCTTTCAAAAGTCTACTTCTACAGTGGTATGAAACTGAATCTCTTGGCAAGCCAGTCCCTGACCCTTTTGCATGCTCTTTTTTGGAGTCGCTATGTAAATGTATGCACGTTAACCTGCCAGTGTCTCCAGCACTGGGACAACACTCCTGTGCTGCCCCTCGTTCGGTGCCAAGGCGCAGTACTGGCACTGTGTCAACATTGGGCACCTTAGAACATCATCATCATCATCATCATCATCATCATCATCATCATCATCATCA